TAATGTATAGAATACACAGAAGAGTTTATCCTTAAATGGACAGAGAAGCAGTCAACAGGCCACTCAATGTATTTTGCAACGGTTAAAAACTAGTACATATTGGTCTGTAAAAGTTCAAAATTAGGTGCTCTCATCTACAACAGGTCTTGATCTATAAATATACTAACCCGAGGGTATATGACCATAACAAGCTCTGGAATATTTGAAAGCAACCCTTGAAATGAAGGAGATTTGCTTTCCTATCATTGGTCAAATGCTAAAAACTGATATTTTACTTCTGAATGACACATGCAGAAAACAGGTAAGTAAACATAACTGAAAGTATAAAAGGCTCACAGAATGCTACCCTTACTCAGATATATGCGTATTAGAAGATATTCAATGTTATGTTTGATACAGAACTTGAGGGCAGAACAATTGATGTATTCCATGCATACCAGGACACACAAGATCTTCTATCGCTACGGGCCTAGTTTGGTCATCTTTGCTCACCCTGACCAATACCTTTACATCATAAGAGGTTTCACTGATTCAACCACAGCTACCTGCAAAGTGAAGCAGTACTCAGTATAAATAAAAGTGGTATATTCAGGTTCTTAAATAAAGTTTTGAGCAGGGCTTGATCAAACGAGTCCAAGTATTCCAGTTCCTGGAGAAATTATTTCTAAGGTCTCTAGCACATGTTACATTTATAGTGCAATTTGTGTTAATCATGCCATAAATACCAATATGTCACACATTCTCAAATGTTATGGCACAATGTAATGGTAAACCAGACACAGAGATATGCCACAAAAATGTGGAATATCTTTGCGGATGGTTTGTATGGCACTATAAACTGAATGTGTGGTATATACCGCCCCATTGTCCTGATGCTGACAAACAGCTGATTGTCAGCATTGGGACCTAGGAAGCCCCTGGTCTGGAACCTGGCTGGAGGCTGCCCAGTTCCAATGCCAACAACAGCTAGTTATGAAGATCAGGATGCCAGCTTTCCAGGACCCAAAAGGTTTTCTGCCTTGCCCTGCAGGGTATAGTAGAAAACCCATCAGGTCATGGTGAGCCCAAAGAGACTTGCCATGACCCAGCACTTCAACAGGCCTATTGCTGGTCCTGGCCCCAGACAGTTCTGGGTCCTAGGGCTACCACAGCCTAATATGACACTGAAGCTTCCCCTAGCCTGTATCCTGAACCAGGAGCCCCAGGCTGCCGGTTTCCAATCCTGATGCTCAGTTGAGCATAGAGATCAGGCATGAGGCAGCCCCAGGGTCCAGGACAGAGCTGTCCCCTGCCAAATCCACAAGATCAGGCTGAAGGCAGCTCCGCTGTGGCATAATTAAGATAGGATGAACTACAGGGTCTTCATAAAAGTCTTTGTGCACTTTTAAATGTTAATAACTTAGGTTGTAGGTATGATAGAAACGATCTGTAAACAGCATTTAAAAGCAAATTTATTAAAGTTTTAGGACAACTAGAGTACACAATCATAGACTTCATAATAATGAATTTATTCTTAAATAAGATGGAGTTCCATGCCACTACGCCAGGGGTGGGCAAAATATGGCCCGCAGGCCAGATGTGGCCTGCCAGGCCATTGTATCCAACCCTTGGGGCCCCTAAAAAAATATAGAAAAGTAATATTTACCTGTCCCTGGCTACCTGTCATGCAGCCCTTGATGGCTTGCCAAAACTCAGTAAGCGGTCCTCCACCCAAAATAATTACCCGCCCCTGAACTACGCTCTGAATGTACGACAGTTCCCAAATGACGTTTTCCCAGAGAAGTGGATAAGCAGAGGTGGACCAATTGCTTGGCCACCTCGTTCACCTGACCTGTCGCTGTTGGATTTCTTTTTATGGGGACATGTTAAAAGTATAGTTTACTTGTCAAAACCACGCTTTTTGGTGGAACTTAGGGCTAGGATCACCAATGCAATTAGTGCAGTAACTCAAGAGGAACTGGGAAATGTTTTTAAGGAGTTGGAAGATCAGATAGAGCACTGTATCATGATGGATGGTGGTTATGTTGAAGTCTAGCACTGTGTACTCTAGTTGTCCTAAAACTATAATAACTTTGCTTTAAAATGTCATTTACAGATTGTTTCTATCATACCTACAACCTAAGTTATTAAAGTTTAAAAGTACAAAAGGACTTTATGAAGACCCTGTATATGCCCTGTCCCAAACATTGTGTATTCTACTGTGTGTGTCTGGGGCCCACAGACCACATTTGGCCGGTGGGCCCTACTCTGGGAACCCCTGCTTTAGAGAGTGCCATATGTATCTGAAATATGGTCCTTAATTTAAGGAACAAATCCATATCAGCATAGTACTGGAGACAGCATTGGGTGAAGGTTTGGAACCCTTTTCTGCTTGAACCATTATTCCTTTCTGATACCAGAACCCACAGACTGAGAAGAGATGCCCTAAAGCACAGTTTTCAAAAATCTGGCTTGCAGAGCCATGTCACAGGGTTCCCAGAGGGGCTGGGAATTCAGGGCAGGGCCACCAGGAGCGGGTCCTGGGTACAGAGTCCTGCTGGGGACACCTCAGCAACAGACAGGCAAGTGAGAGCTGTGTTAACTCTCCTGTGCTGCCATCATTCATTGTGTTGCCACTGCCAGGTCTAGATCTGGCCCATGAGGAGACAGATCAAATTTGACACCCCTGGGCTAACAGCATGTAACTTCATTTTATTTTGTATTCCTGTGAAGTAGCTTCAGTGTGCTATAAAATTTTAAGCAAAGTTTTAAGAGGAATAAACACCTACGGTCTGGGAGCAAGGGGGGGGGGGAGAGGGGGGGGGGGGGGGTTAGGCAAATATAATTTGTAGCGTTTCAAAATTTAAAAAAGGTAAAATGTTCATAAGCTGTATGTAACAGGGGGCTTTCTTGGGGCCAGTCTGTCATTGGCCCGCTCACCGGTTTCTGGGCCAACTGCCCAACTCTTTGTCTGCCATGCCTTGATGATACATAATTATGGTATTAATTAAGTTAGAGGCTGCCATTCTTGCCCCGATCTCAGGGGGTGCTATCTGCGGCTCCGTTCCTCCCCTACACTGCAGCCCAAGCCTCGCAGATGGCATCAGGTTAATATTACTGCCAGCCTGAGACCGGAGCAAACTGAGCCCAAAGTTGAGCTCTACACACACGCACATTCATACTGTACTATATAGAAAATGTGAAATGTGAAACTGTACTATCCAGAAAAATTGTCTCAGTTCTCTTACTTCCCAAAAGCCATCATCATGAACTATATATCATCATTCCAATTAAAACATTTTATCTTAAAACCACGTAAATCATTAGGACACATACCCAGCAAAAATGCTGAAGGACTGCATGCTATTCACTGCACATCATATGAATTCTAACTCCTCATGTTGGCATCTGAGATATGAGCTCTTCCCCCCAATTCTGTTTCATTAAAATTGGCTTTAGGTCATGTTTATTTTGTGGAGGAGTAAGTTGTCAAATTACTTATATTTTTGTTATTACTTTAGGATTCTTTTTTGCTCTTGGTCTGTGTGCAAATATAGGCCTTGATAGTATGACAAAAGTAAGCAGGCATTACATTTTCTGATGGCTTCAACTTCCTCACATACTAAATACTCCCAGCTGGGCCTATCACTAGGATGGGCATTATTCATATGCAACTGTTTTATTACTTCCTATATACGTATAGTCCTCAGGGCTGACTATCATTTCTAGCACACTGTATGGGAGATTGAACCTTCTGTTCCGTACTTACAACATGGTCAAGTTTGCCCAAATGAAACAAGAAAGACACTGCCAAAGCTGCTAATCAAATTCCTGGTCTATTGTACATGCATGGCAGACTGACTAACACTACTGTACTGCTGGGGGGGGATGGAGGGGAGATGACACCTATGTAGCTGAAAGCAAAGGCCCAATTGCCATTTCTTGAGACTCTAGTTGAAGAAATATCATTTCTCTGTTTCAGTGTTTTAATAAATTAATGTGGTACAGCTATGTACCCTGCCTTTTTCCTGAGAGCTTAACTTCTTATACTTGCCATAATGCTTTGAAATACCTTTGTTTTGTATTTACCTGCTCGTGTGTTTCTTACCCATATCACACCCATTTGTCTACACAACTATGGTGCAAATCAAGTTGTGAAACACAGCCAGTCAAGGTTTCACCCAAAGACCTGAAGTGCAGCAACTAGAGGCCTGGGGAAAATTCCCAAACTCATCAAGTTAATAGCAAAAAGAGAGAGAGAGAGAGAGGGGGAGAGAGAGAGATTTGGGACCAGGATTTAACTCCTGACTCCCAAATATGAACGTTCTTTTTTATTGCCTTCTGCCATACCTGCCTTCAGCTGAGATTAAAACAGTATTACAACAAACAACCTTTGCATTTTTATACTTCTGGCTTTCATCTATTTCTGACACTTACAATAAGCCACCTTTTTTTGTACTCCTCTCCCCCCTCCCCAACCTGCCCCCCAATTCTGTAGAGCAAGGGTGGCCAACTTGTGGCACAAGTGGCATGGGCAGCCTCTGTGTGGCAAACAAACTGTAGAGAAAAGAGAGATGGCACAGAAGCAGATAAGGCAGGAAGCAGAAAGCAGAGAAGGGCAGAAATCAGAGGAGGAGACTGGGCAGGAAGCACAGAGTAGGGAGAAAGAAAGCAAAGCAGCAGATTGGGCAGAAGGGGATCACTATGACACTTAGGAAGGGTGCAGGGCTAATCTGTGGCATGCCTGCCGAAAACACTGGCTTCCACTGCTGTAGCGAATATGCTCCACAGATTTTAAGTAGGTCTGAAAAGAGCAGAACTGAATTCATTCTTGATTTTAAACACAAGAGAAGGAAAATATCCTTTTGATATCAGTCTGCATCTATAAGATTATTTCTATATCATGGAGATGCTAGATAATTTCCTCAGTCTCAGGGTGCTTGTTTAGTCAACAGTAGTAATTAAAGATATTAACAACACACTTGATTACATACACAAACAATGCTTAGATTCATACTTACAGGCTGAGGCTGTTCTGCAATACAGCAGTTGAAACACAACCAGAACTCACTCATTGTTTACAGTCTAAAGTGTGAGTGCACAGGCTGGGAGAAGAAAAAATGCTCAATTTCTGCTCCAATCTTCACGTAGGCAGTTCCTTAACTCAGTTGATGTATAATGGTCCTAAAGCAGAAAAGCTTATCTTCTGCTGTGCTCTTCCCCAAAGGCAAGTCCTGGGCTATTCAGGTTGATGACAAAAAAAAATAAAAAAGGACCCAAAACAAAACCAAAAAGAAAAACAAAAAAAAGGTGAAGGAATATTCTCAAGATGTTGGTCCCAGCACCACAGAAGCAGCAGGTATGTGCTCCCTTGGTCCCTAGTCCACAGGCAGTAACCTGAAATAAAAATGTGCGTAATGTCAGAAGGAAAGAAAGAAAATTTTTAACCAGAACCACCCTTCCCCCACCTCCTACAGACAAACACATTTACAATGCTGGCTTTTTAGATTACATTTCCGATCACACATCTGAAAAACACTAACAAATCGCGAATAATACACAGATATAAAAACAGACACACATTTTAATCAGATTTCTATTTCTACATGAACACCTGAAAATAGCATAGGCCAGGGTTACTAGTCTATAATAAGGATGCCATAATGTTTTTGTAAAAGTAGTAACAAAAATCTACATTTAAAAATAATGTTGCAGTTGAGGGAATATTTACATTAACTTCTGAAGGAGTTTTGTCCCTTGTGCTCTATTAAAACGGTGATTGATATTCAGTAAAAATTCTCCAAGCCAGTTAAAAACCCAGTTAATACCCCATGCACAGTGCAAATGAACTGTGTTGTGACTGGGTGCCCAGTGCCAACTAAAAAACTCATTCTAATTCTGAAAAAAAAAAAGTCGTCAGTATTCTGAAGCCATTACGGATCACTGTCAATGTAATAAAAAATAAAAAAACAAAAACACTCATCCCACTCTCTACCCTTCTGCTTCACAAACAATTGTTTTTATAAAGGGAACGTATATGTTAAGTATTGGGCTGTTTCCTTAAAACACTGAAGCTCCTGGTGTGGAACAACTGTCATGTGGAATTCCATCCATTCTTTACGAAACTAGTTTATTTGCTAATTTTTAACCTATGTTTTTCCTCCCACTCAAACTGCAAGGAAGTAAATCCCTCCAGATTTCATTCTTGTCATTTATTGTACAATCTGTGTCATCCTTACTTTGGAAACAAACGGAAAATTAAATGAAGTGATTAGAAAATTATAATGATCTAATTTTGTACAGTATCGCTCGATTCCACTCCAACTTGTATCCAAATGGAGTATCCATATGCTCCATTACTTGTATTATTGTAGTGTCTCGTAACCCTCAAATGAATTTGGGACCTGCTGTCCTAGACATCATACAAACAGAAAAACAATCTTCTAGTATCTTTCCATATGCTCTGGGGTGGAGGGGCAGGGGGTGATTTAGTTAGAGCGGCTCTGAGAGAGACTAATTAAAGTGCCTGCAATGTCACGTGTCTTTAGCATCCCACACTTCAAAATGGTGGATGGGATACTTGAACTAAAGCTTCTTCAACCAGCTTTAGTTCAAGCACTCCCGCCACAATTCTGAAGCATGGAGATGCTGAATACATGTGACAGAGGCTGCTGGAGTGCATTAAATAAGATGCTCCAGCAGACTTGATTAATTGATGCTGCTACAAGGCATACTAATTAGCACACGTCGGAGCAGATGTCCAGGATGTGTATAGGTGCCCTTCTATCCTGAAGAGATTACGATTTATGCATTTCAATTTTGGAGATAAAGGGATTTAAGTGTCATTTGAATTTTTTCTCCAACAAAGATTTGGCACTTCTGTTCATAGACAGGAAAATCATTGCTGGAGATCCTACTCTTTAGAATGTTCATCTCGATTCCCTTGATTTGAAGTAGCTACTACTAAAATTGATACACGTCCAAACCTAGTGGCAAACAGTAAATGGAATTAAAATGAAAAATTAAATTCTACTAAAATTTCCGTTCACTTATTGCTAACCCACACAAGATGTGGGGTTATTACTAACCACAGCAAGATGTATTTTCATTTTTGTTTTGCTTTTTCTAAAAACAACACTGCTATAGTTTTAGCAGACTAAATCTTCTTCTAAAGGCAGGTCAGAGGCAGGAGTGGAAAAAACCTATTTAAGAAAGCAAATACCATTCTGCTTTAGGATGTTGCACTCTATGAACCAAGTCTAGATGTGCCTTCATTTCTGTGATACCTCTAGATGTTCGTTAGTTCCTGTGATACTTCAGGGAACCCCAGCTTGGACATGGGCACACATTCACTAATGTGCCATAATTATGGTGCATCAAGTTTAGTACCTGTACTAACTTAAATGCGCTGTAATTGGCACTACACAGCATTAGTGCAGACGAACGCTTTTTTTAGTGACATTAATGCACATTAGATTAAATGTACTGCACATTAGCATAGGTTTTACCCGCCATGCTAATGTGCAGTAGAATTGGTCTTCTGCGAATTAGGTGTCTTTGTAGATGTGCCCAGAGTGTAGCTACATGAGGATGCTCAGGAAAATTAGGCCATATCAACTAAAGATGTTAAGTGAATGGGCAAAGTTAAACACTTGTGCAGAAGCTTTCATTCATAAGCAAGACACGTTTAAGTCACTCCAGCTTAAACCTCTTTAAAGTAGAACTCCCACTGACTTCAAAATGGAAGGATGGTTAGGCCAGTGCAGAAATATTTTGAAACTGCAACTTTCAGTTTGGTATGAAAACTCCAGCACTTGCATACAAGACTTCTTATTTTGTTTCTACAATTTCTCATATCTATTGTTCTACAAATAGGTGTTGCAGCAGAACATGTCATTTATATTAGGCGTGCAACTGCTGGCTCCTGCTTAGCCCTTTGATGGTACAATAAGTATCTAGAGTTAGGGGTCTGCCCAGCTGAAGGAGACAGCCAGCTGATTTCACAGGCAGATCGTGGGGCTGGCTACCATTTTCACAAGCTTATCATGGTACCCCCCGCCTCCACGCCTCTGATTGGCCAAGGGGCCCTTGTGACCCCACCCCTTGCTGCTGACTGGTAGAGAGGGCTGTTTGTCATATAGCCCTGATTCTTGCCACCGATTGGAAACTGATCAGTGGTGAGGGGCAGGGGCAGAAGCCATCTTGGGCTCCCCTCTGTGCTGGCAGCACTCTTCAGACTACCATGCGTAGACCCTGAGATGGTGCAGAGTCACTTGGAAGAACTGGATGCTTTTAAGTCGGCAGGCCCGGATGAGCTCCATCCGAGGGTGCTGAAGGCACTGGCCGACATCATTGCAGAGCCACTGGCGGGAATATTTGAAAGCTTGTGGTGCACGGGCCAAGTCCCGGAGGACTCGAAAAGGGCCAACATGGTCCCCATTTTCAAAAAGGGGAGGAAGGAGGACCCGGGCAACTATAGGCCAGTCAGTCTCACCTCCATCCTTGGCAAAGTCTTTGAAAAAATTATCAAGGCTTACATTTGTGAGAGCCCGGCAGGACAAATTATGATGAGGGGAAACCAGCACGGGTTCGTGGCAGGCAGATCGTGCCTGACCAATCTAGTTTCTTTTTATGACCAGGTTACGAAACGCCTGGACACAGGAGGAGGGGTGGATGTCGTATACTTAGACTTCAGGAAGGCCTTCGATACGGTATCCCACCCCATACTGGTGAACAAGTTAAGAGGCTGTGACTTGGATGACTACACAGTCCGGTGGGTGGCGAATTGGCTGGAGGGTCGCACCCAGAGAGTCGTGGTGGATGGGTTGGTTTCGACCTGGA